AATCATTAAGATTTATATATTACTTCAATGACTGGGCAAGTTAACTGATTTTTTTAACTCGTCGAGTTAATTTCATGTACAAAAATTTAAGAAGGGTTTAAAGTTAATTTTTCTATTTATTTTGTTAAAATTTTTTTTAACTGAATATTTACAACTTATAAAACCACAGTAAGCTATTATAATAAAAACATCATACTCCTAAGCTTTGATGATATAGTCTGCGCCGACTGGCTTGTTTACCTTATGCCCATCTAAAACTTCAAAAATCTAATTTTAACGCCAATAAATTGTCAATATTCATATTTTTAAATGTACCTACCATTTCCTACATATATTATAAAAATTTCTACATATAACGAGCAATTCTTCTTGACAACACCTTTTTATTATCGTTGGGTTAATATAAACTGTATTTTGATCCTTAATAACTAGAAATAGTACGCCCAATATTTTGACAGTCTACAATTTAGTATTTACAATCTTTATTATACCTAATATTAGAAATAATATTTCAAATAATTTTTTTTTCATATTAAACAATAATTTGTACAGATAAATTTTTATATCTAAATCAATAAAGTTTTTATTAGAAAAAACTTAAACTTAATATGACTGTATAATGAATTAACAATTAACCAATTAGATGGGTAATTACTAATTACATATCATGATAAAAAATTTAATTTTTAAGTTTAAAACTATTTTTTTTAAAAAGTAACTTGTTAATGCCCAGCCTTGAATGTTAGTATATTATGTATTGTGTTTGAATAACTGAAACATAATTTATCAACTTACTATTTATGTTATGTTACAATCTCATATTATTAATTTAAATGATATTCGTATGTTCAAAAGTCAAGTGCTTGGAAATTTGTGTTCGAATAGATACACTTGTACTCTTATAAATAACAATTATTATACCTAATGATTAATAGGTACTTAAAAATAATAAAACAAACCCACATACCAATGAAAATGAAATATTAAATTGCATTAATATAATTAATGTATAAAATAAATTGTTAAAAAAAGGTGTTCTTTTTAAAAGTTCTTACTTGTCATCTTAAATTCTTTGTTGAATTTTGTACATTGATATTCTTTTTTTGCTCTTTTTAAAGTTCTTCTTTATATTAACTGTTCAACTACTAATTCAGTTTCATTTTAAACTTGTTGTATTAATTTAATGAAGTCAAAAACTGCAAAATGAAATAGAAACAAATCATTTTTTTAATCCATTACTTGATTGATTTGAAAGCTCAATTTTTCAAAGACAAATGTGTGAATACATTACCATTGAGTAGAAGACCAGCGCCCTCATTTTAAATTACAACAAATTTATATCCATTTGATTTTTTCTTTTCAATGAAATGACTTCTGTTTTAGTTTTAAGTGGTTATTGAAAATTGTAATAATAATATGTTGATGGAATAAAACTAACAAACATCAATTTTACTTTAATTTTTATGCATTAACAAATTAGCTAATTTTCATTTTAATTATTTTGGTGATTAATTTTTGATTTAGTTATTTTCTAACATTTTGGGTGTACATGTAAAAAAATTTCACTTTCGATTATTTAAAAGCTTATGAATTTTATTTTTATTTTATTTTTTACCTGGGTACATTTTATTGTCTTTGATATTACTTTTAACTATGGTAATGGCTGACAAATGGTTTTTCTCAGTGTTATGTTTCGTTGTTTTAACTGTGTGTTACCATAATGTTGTAGACTATCTAATATTCTAATTGAATGGTTTGTTGAACATGCTATGTACTAAGCATTATCCTTGTGTTGCATGACAAGAGTTTTGTGTTTGATTTTCCAGGAGGGGATTTATTGGTGAGCCTGACCTCCGCTTTTGACAAAAAACTTAAATCCCTTTTAATACCCAGTGACTCTGTGGATGTTGAAGAGAAACAGCCGGTAGCTTTATCAAGTGGTGAACAATCAGATGTGCAGACTTACAGAGACCCGAGTTTTCATAGATCTTTGGAAAGACGCAGTCAGCATATAACCGAAAAACATGTAAGTTGATGTCAACAACTGTCATATATTGGCTCGATTTTAATTGTTATCATTATTTATTACAGGAAATTGAAACTATGAAAGATTCAACTAGTGAATCAATGAAAGATTCTTCAAAAGTTGATAATTTTGAATGTCTTCAAGACGTCAACACCAATCCAAATGTGCGTCTGCGTCGTTCCGAATCATTGAAACAAAAAGAAAACCGTCCAGACTATGGGAATCATGTAAAACTGCGTCGTTGTGAGTCACTCAATAAACATGAAAGATATATATCCAAATATACAAAGTTTGAGGCAATGATGCTGACAAAAAACGGTGACGCTTCCAAACACCGGCGATCTGACTCCCTCACCAAGACGGAGAAGACCGAGTGCAACATGAACAAGCGAAAACAAGGATTGTCTAGACGCTGTAGTTCATTGCGCGATAAGGAAGCGCGCCAAAAACGTAAAAACGGTGTTACAACTGATCGCAGCATCAAGAGGCGGCATACAGTGGGTGGTACAAAGGACTTTGATAAGATCACATGGTTGGACAATAAGGAAAGAGAAGAATTAGAAAAAAGCTGCAAAGATAGAAGAACCAGTTCACCAGACCTTAGTTGGGCTCGTGTTGTGGATGGAATAAAAGAAAGAGGTATTAGACCCAGGAGCATGGCCGACCCAAACTTTGTGTCTAAACTTTTGAATGTACCTCTTGAGTCACATGTTTGACAGTAAATATATTTTCTTAAAAATTGTTTTGATCTCATTTGTCCTATCGCTTAAATGTGCTCATACCCCCCTATGTTTTCGTCATTCAAAACTTGTGCTCATCCCTATCATTTCTAGGTTGTCAATTACCCTATTATGCTTTAAAAGTTTGGTATGTTTTTAAATATCAACATTGTTTTATAGTCTTGATGAAGTATAATTTGTTTTTAAAATTGAATATAAATCTATATTTAAAAGTTCTTGACAATATTGTTTTGATGAAAAAATAAAACGGTGCAATAACATTGTGACTACATTGAGAGAAATATTGTAAAAAAAAGTACTATTATATTTAATTTTTTTTTTCACTTTTTTTTATTATTATTTTGTCACTTTACCACTGACATACATATTCAATATACATATTATATTTAATGAATTTTTATTTCAATAATTATTCTTTAAAAATTAATTTTCACAGTAACTATCACATTATTATTTATTTTTATTTTAGTACACGGATAATACACCGAGCATTTAAATTTTATATTATTTTAATTTAAGCAAAAACAATTGTTATTAATGTAAATAATCTTATATATTTATTTATGTATTGTCAAAGTATACTGGTTACTGTTTTTTTTTTTAAAAATGGTGCGTTTTATGTTTTTATATATATTTTTTTTTGTTTTCTCTTTTTCAAATTTGTAAAGCGTTTTTATATAATATACGTAAAAGCAACAAAAATTACTTGTATGTAAAATGTCACTAAATTATACCAATATAATTTTATATATTATATATATATATTGTTTTTATGTGTAAGTTTTAATCATAAAGAGTTCCACTAAAACAAAATAAAGTGTTGGATAATACATTTTTAATGAATATGTTCTTAACTTATTTTTTACCTGTGTTCTAGTATTGTCATATTATATATACTTTTAATGCATATTAAATCTATATACTTTGCCACTTTTACAGTCGTACACGACCTCCTAGTCTAGACTCGGGGCCACTGTATGGCGTTGCCTGCAGGCAGGAAAAAGAAAGTAAAAAAAAACAATAATAATATAATATGTTTTGGAGTTGAAATTTATCATCTTTATTCATTGGTTTTTATCGACTACTGCAATTTTGATGCCCCGCAAACAATTTCTAGATTCTTAATGTAGCTCTTGGAAAATACTAATTGTTACCCCTGTCTCAGTGGAGGAGTTCTGGGGGGGGGGGGGTAGAATTTTTTAAGTTAACTTCATATGAAGAGTTTTGTCCTTCCACCCCATACCATAGAGCCCTATGTTTTTTAATACACCACTTTATACAGTAAAATAATTTATATTGAATATTTAAAATACATTATTTAACTACACATTTTTTTTATCAATGATGTATTATATAAAATCCAAATACCACTCACTCATTGCGCTCAAAAATGGCAAAATGTATGAACTATAAATTTGGGATAACGGTTACTGTAATGCTCTACTAGTCTAGTCTCTAGATGTTCAATAATTAGTGGTTTAAAATATATAGGTATATAAATCATAAATATTTTGTTGCTGGTTTCTATATGAAATAAAAACATAATAATTGCAATGTTGGTGTCAAATGTCAATGTATTGAAATTTACTGTCATACATTTGTTAATTAAAATGTTTATAAATAATCTTTTTATAACAAGCGATTCTTTATTTTTTAGTATCATACCGAAAATAAGTCTACAAGTAATAACTGCTTAAATGTATAATGCAACAAAATGCACCAAGCAGTCACTAGATGTTGAAGTTCAAAACTGAATAATTTCCAGGAAATGATAAATTATTACATTTATTACACTTTCACGGCAATATCCGAGTTTTTTAGGGAGTAGCCGAATAGTACCAAATAGGATAAATGAGATAACAAAGAATATCCATTAATGTGACATTGGATATATCATATATAAACTATAAATATTATACACGTTCGCGGGTTATACTGTACACTATGTGGGTCACCGTCTCATCGAATACTCTTGATCAAAAATATCGAAAATAACATAATTTATTTCTGTAGGTCCTCAATGACGCACAGTTCACTTGCTGCCGCGGTTTAAGATACGTTTCTCGTTTCTGACGTTTCTGTCATGGTTTCTTTATTAAACCCGCGTTCTTGCTAAGCAAACGATCGAGGCGCCACCAGTGGCAGTATAAGCGCACCATCTTTCCCGGTACGTTTTTTAATCGTGGCTCCTTATCAGCAGATATCTAGTTTTCGTGTTTGTGGTACATTGATAACAATATTTGTAAACATTCGTCCCGCGAAGATTAAATACGTTGATGATAATATTGAATGTTTCATACATAATAATATTATTAAAATATACGACAGCATAATATTATATTTAATCTACGATAATATAACACGTATCTAATATATTATGTAATACTCATCGTCCGTTTAATGTAGGCCAATGGTCTATGGTAGTACTCATCAGCACGTCAGGGTCAGCGACCGTGTAGAATCTCGACTACGTGTTACGTTTGTCCGTCGTCGCGATTCCCATTGCCCGTTTGAATTTTCTGCGCACGGGGACAGCCAAGGCTAACAGAATTAGTCGGTCCGGATGCGTCCTTTGCTGGAGCAGCAGGTCGAATAAGTCGATTAGAGTCTAATCATCAGGCCTTTGTAGAACAAACCTAACGGATCATCCAACGCGTAAGCACGATTACCTATTATTATTTATTACGTTACATTATTTTAATATGATAATAACAAACCGTATTTATATTATGAGGTAGCCACACCCGCGTGTCTCACCATTGGTTGTGAATTGTTATCGATAACGGTCTTACGAACGTACTTACGACATGACAAATTTGTGTTCGGCAGTTCCAAATTTTTATTGTAATTAGTAAGCCCTAACAATATAACGAATTGGGAAACTTTTAGCAAGGATATTGTCTGTGCATTCAAGTGGGTTTTTTTAAGCCATTTATGAGAATTTTTAAATTGTAATGGTTTGCTTGCTCATAACTTGTTTAAATATTAAACTATTGCTATAAAATCCATGTGAAAGCATAGATAATGGTCATGCCTCTAAGTTTGATAATAGGTTAATTCTCTCTAATATTAAAGACTATCGCTCAAAATTAAAACTGTTGAACACAAATTTGCCATGTCGTACGTTCGTAAGACGGAGACAACATGCGGGTGTAGCGACTCCTTATGAGTTGGGGGCTTACGACACTACCCTCCATTGTACTTGGGGGAGGAAGCTAGGGGGAGCTTGTAGGGGGTATGTTTGTATTTGTTTTCGATTGCATTAAAGAATAAGAAACATCAAACATTTTAATAAATACATTAAATTAATTAAATCCCTAATAGATTAGGTAACTAAGCACTTTTCATAGATATTTTAAGTCTAAATTTTGAAAAAATTGTGTATTTAAAAGAAAAATAATAGTTTTAGTTATTTTCTTGTATTTTAAAAATATTATTCGTGGGGAATTGAAACTTTTCGCCACTACGTTTGGTGTACCTATATGGCTATATAATTATTTACAACACAATGACGTTTTCAAAGTATTTAGATTCATTTTAAGTTATTTATAAGACGAACCATTCTACGTTACGCTTACGTTGGTACTTGATACCTTACTACTTTTAGACTTAAGTTACATTTAGTTTAGTATATGAAATGAATAATCCTGGAAATAATGTTATGATCAATATTTTATAATATGCCTATGCATAATGTTTTTGGCAAAACGTAGTTCAACCTACGACTTTCTGTCTTACGAGGTAAACGTATGCTCGTATATCGAAAAATTGGCTGACAAACGTCTTACTCATAATCGTTTTTCGTATGCAACAATTTGTCATCGAATTCAAATTTAACACGTCCATTACAGTGGTATACTCAATGACGAAGTATACTTGACACCTATATAGCTATAGCAGACCAACTCTCCTTTTTTTGTTTTAAACCTAAAAAAAAAAAACTAGAAAATTCATTTTAAGTGACCTTATTTGAGTTGTTGGGATTCATAATACCAATATTGATAAATAGAGTATCTTTATTTATTTTATAATATATTATTATTTGATGATAGCCTGTCTGTAAATTATGTTAATTATTAAAAATTAGGTACTTGTTGGATAATTAATATTTTTATATTATTTTATAGTATCCTTTCTAATGGATAGCTAACAAACTATATATTGAAGAGTAATGTTTCCCCTAACTTATATAATATTCCCGCATGTGTGGTCTATAACTTCTGTGTTTCATAACAATTTATGGGCATGGTAACGTTAATTTATTGATTTATTTAGTAAATATGTAAGATACAAACATTATTAATAATAGTAAACATTTTTTACACAATGGCCGAACAAAACACAGAAAACGTTGATGAAAATTATAAAGAAAATTCAGAATATCTAAAACCAACACCTCAATATACAATATTTGATGAATATCACAATGAAGAGTTATTATACCCAAATGAAAAGTTAGGAATACTGAAGAAAAAGTTAGAAATCGTGAGGTCAAAGGTGGATAGAAAATTTAAAAGAACCCTCTCCCCTTTAAGGCGACCTACGGACAATGCACCTTTACACGAAGTATACAAAAATGTAATTAATAAAGACTCGTTTACCATTTTAGCCTCGATTTTAGCTAATGAAAACAACGGTTGTAGTAAGTACCTTTACTAAATGACAAGTATTATCGTAATTCATTATATATAAGGGTATACCCTTATTATCAGGGTTAGGATGTTATAGCAAATAAAATTGCACAAATATCGCTAAAACTATATAATAAAAAAAATGTGTAAAAGTGTGCAATTTAAGACAAAGTAAGGTACAGCAACTGTACGAGTTAAGACTCTACAAAGAAAAGCCACAACATGTTCAACCTAAAATACAACTGGTTAGTAAGAGTACTTGAATCAACTGTATTTACAGTATATAATACAACCCATTCAAAACTCGTTCACTGATAAATGATAATCGCAGCCGTAAATGATAATAAAGCAGGGGACCCATCAAAATCAGCGCTTAACAATTTCAGTTATTATGTAAGTTTAAAATTAGAACCAAATATACGAAATGATGAACTTTGCTGCTCTAAAGCAGTAACTAGTAAGTAAAAATACGTTTATTAAAATGCCATTTCATAAAGTATGACCAATTTTGGTTAAAAATCGGTCAAAATGAATAAGCATCTCAAAAAGTTAAAAAATAGTACTAAAATATAAAAATTTGCAAAACATTCAAAAATTAAATTTTTTATTTCAATTCTCTAAATGACGATTTAAATTTAATCTATTTTTATTTTCTTCAATTTTTTTGACAATTTATAAGAAATATGCATATGCTACAAAATCCTAACCCTGCTTATCATAAACATATTACGTTAATTAATCGAAGAACACTTCTATAAATTAATATTAAACTTTAACTCCAGGTACATCAACTGAAAATCAAAAAATTAAACCTACAGAAAACAATTTAAAATCTGCTTACAATGATAACGCAAATATTCAAAAGTCCAATAAACCGTTAAATATTGAAAAAACTAATCAAACAAACTCCCAAGATATTAATGAAAATTCTAAATCCTTGAATATTACACAAGATGATACGAAGAAAATTGCTTCAAATAAAAAAAATACACGATCGCTGAAGAAGAATGTTAAACAACGTAGTAAAATTGCGTCTGTCGATAAAGCAAAATAATAAAAATATATTAATGATTATTACAACTTACGAATTATAAAAAAAAATGTTCTTTCGAGTTAACATAGTTTACCCTTTTTTATTAAATCTATTTTATATCATCATTACCCATATGTGTGGGTGTTAATTTATTAACAAACATAAATTAATTAATTGTAGACATTTAATATTAACAAAATTATTTGAGAGTATCAAAGGGTATGTAAATACATTTTTTCAGCAAATAAAAATAGATTATGAATTTTGAATTTCATCAAATTAATTAAATTAAATATACAGAGTGATTTCTTTAACAGTAAACACTCACTATCTCAAAATGTACTTGAGTACATAATTTTTTATTCCATATCATTTTAAAATCATCATAAAATAACATTTTTAACATTTTTGAAAATAAATAATTGCTTAACTTTTTTTTCTCATTGTTATATTTAAAGTTTTAACTTTTTTGAATAACAATAAGTACACATTTAAAATGTTAGAATTTCATATTAGTAATCAGTCATATAATTGTTTATAATACTAGAAGTATTTTTACTGCAAAATCAATACATTCATCGCTCCGTTCAGAACCTAAAATTTTTTCGGTTGACGTTAAAATCATAAGAAATAAATTGTTTACAAAAACTTACAACTTCAGAGAAACTGAGTGTTTAAAAGAATCAATTATAATTTGTTAATAGATTATATACTAAAATGTACACAATTCGTTTATTATTATCTAAGTATTTTTTTTTAGTTGACAAAACAATATAATTTGTTCAACCTTAATACACAAATAAAATTTAAAGACTTCATTTCTGGCTTGTCCTTCTGGATCAATATAATAATAATAAATTGTTATAATGCACAACTGCCAAATCTACACTATAAGTGGAATTAATGATGAAATTATTAAAATATAGCCAATAAATAAAACTATAATCCTATCCATAGATATAAGATAATTAAGTGATGGCACGGACGAAGACCAGGTAACCCCAGCCAGTAATATAATAAATAAATATATATTTCTACAAAACGTTTTATTGATAGTTATACATTTGTACAAATTATTGTGTTTCAATTGAGAGATCGTGCGTAAGTTTGGCATTCATTACTAGTTCAGCTAATAAAAAATGTATTTGTGTATTAAACAACGCAATTGAAATTGTAAACCTTGAAATATTGAAGAATAGATTTCAAAAATGTTGAAAAATATTTTAAAGTTCTCAGTTAGATATAATTATTGTTTCTAAGCCGGAGTAATGGCATCATATATTGAATTACGTACCTACCTAATACTTGTGTAATTGTATTACAACTAGTAACCACTGAAGTCCTATCATTGTACACGTGAGTGCCTACTATACATATCTACTTAACTATAATTTCTACTTATATATTGTCATTCTATTATACAGGCAGATTATTTCAACACTGAATTGTGATTAAAATGTTTTAAACTTTAGAAAGTATATTATAATAGATAACACTGTAAAATCTTATTTTAAAAATACATATTTATATCATATGTATAGGTATATCGTATATACTATATATTAACTATTATATATAAGTTACACCCGATATATATATACTCGCAATGTATCGTAAAATCGTATAGAACCTTGCTAATATAGCTACGTGCTATAATTGCATTGATAGCTTGAAATTGATCTAAATAATTTGAAAATTGTATTGTGCTTGGAAAATAATGGTTGAAAAGTTTCATGTTACTTCGATTTATATTTTGTAAGCGACAGCAAAATAATTGAAATCATTACTGCAGTTGTCTAATTATTCAATTTCGTCAACACTTAAAATGTCCATAAAAATTTAATAATGCAGACACAGTGTGTCAAACTATATTTTTATATTTTATAATTTATTTATACTTCTCATATAAGTATTATATAGTATACAGTTATAGTACCATAGTTACCTATACGCATAGGCATCATAGGTTAAACCATTGATTTTATAATAAAATAATTATATTATAGTATTTTATAATTTTTTTTTTTATGTCTACTTTAAAATCAATGGTTAAACTAATGTTTTCCAAAAACATGGCATATAAACAATATATATATGTATATACATATTTTAAATACGAACACGAGTTGAACCTATAATTAAATTATTTCCTTTATTTTATTTAATACCTAATAATGCACTACTGTTATAATATTATATTTTATATCATTATGTTATTATTATAACTTATTGTAACTATTGTACATTCATGGCTATGCATATAGGTAATCTTAAAATAGTCGACTCGATTACATAATATATATTTTGTACACACTATTACATTGTACAGATTGCCATTACATTCATAGTGTAGTAAATTATTTGTTAAATATAATGTTTTCAAATGTAGCGATTGTAGAATAATTATAAATACGTAATATTATGTAGAATTCGACGCTCAGTAACGTATAATCATTAATCATGTGACATGTACCTATTGTATCAATAATATCATGCGGTATTCATAGTTATCCATATTGTATATACTACTAAAATAAGTGTAAAATAAGTGGTTGGAGGTTGTTGGATTATTGAAAAAAAAGTATAAGTATAATAACTTTATTGAACTCAAATAATGTGCACAAAATACTATTCAGTTACTATAAGCCCGATAACAGTTACATCATTTTTTATTATCACAAACAACACGTCATGTTGTGTTCCTGGGATATATTTGAAACTCGCATGAGAGTTCTGTAAAACATAAAAGTATTCCAATTAGTTCCCCGGGAATATTTTTTTTTTAGATACATTATGATGTAGTCAGTTCGGAAACAACTTTCAAGGTACGAATATTACATAATATAATGCCTACTTAGTATGGTATAGAACACATTTGGCCATTTTTATCAAACTCGATTATATTAATGGCATGTCTGATGTCTCAATGACCGCGGAACACAAAGTGTTTATATTTAACTGAATTCGTTTAAAAATATTACACGTCATACTATATAGGTATTGTTATATACCTACTAAACTCTACTCATAAGTCCTACCATGATTATATACACAATTATTATTATAGTCAATAGTCCGAGTAACTCATATCTATATTAAATTAATTAATACTATTATTTGTATTTATTTTTCAGATTATATTACGTGTCTGTAACTGTAAGACAATGTATAGCTTTATCTATTTTCTGGCCCAATTAACAATATAGAACTAACTCGTATATTGATTTGAAAGAGGGAAAACAGTGGTCGGCAAGATCAGAAGCCAATATATTTCTGGTCTATGATTGGTATCGCGGCATCACACGCGTCCCACCTTTTACACCGTGCGCGTTGTGTGTCGATAGATGTGACGTATAAACAATAAACATACAAATTATTTTATAACATATTAGCTTCACGATCGTTCAAAATGTCTGCTATTCCTCACTTGCCCATTTTTGTTGAAGACGACGATATTGAAAAAGGATCTCAAATCATATTGAAACTAATAAGGCCGGACTGGGATTTGGAAAAAATCAGATGCAAGGTAAAAAAAAACCAATATTAATAATTTATAAATACATAATATGTGAAAACTCTCGTATATATCGCATATTGTACTAAATAGTTTTATAAGCTTCTAAGCTAAGTATATCGCAGTTTTATTTATTTTAAAGATGTCCGAAAAATCCGAAATTAAACTAATCGAAATATTGTGCATAAAACATTAGTTGTTCACAGATGGTATTACTAACAAGTTGGTCGGTTTGTTCGACGATTCGCGTTCAGAAAATGATGGCGTGCTGGTTCGCATTTACGGGAAAAATACCGAACAGATCATTGACAGGAAAGCAGAAGTCGAAAACTTTAAGGTTCGTTGTTTGCATAGTATACTGGGTCGCTGGGCAATTCGCCGAGAATGCTCGCCACCATTTTTTCCTATAATAATAGATTTCTTAAAACTTTGATTTTTGGATTTTTTAAGTAAGATTTTTCAAGTACCTATACTTAGCACCATATTTTATGTAATATACTCAGTAAATTAACCGAAATACGAACGAGTTTCTAAATTATTTAAATTTAGTCGTTAAGGTCTTAAGGATAATATAATATAATAATAAATATTATAGTAGTTCGTGATAAGTCAAAGTATGAGTGTTTGACTATGCGTCCAATATTAAAAAAAAAAAAAACCATGAAATCAACAAACCAAAAGCAAAAATTTCTTATTTCAAAAAATAAATTTGCATCTCCACATGACACTTTTTAAATAGTATAAAATATAATCTAAATATTTTTAATTTTAGCTTTCATGGATAGGTATTAGTTATACTTCAAAAATTCCAAAAATAAGAACTTGAATAAATATATTAATTTTTAAGATTACATTGGTGCCCCCTCACCATCATGCTTGGATCATGCTTATTGGTGAATCACCCTGTGTACTTAATATTTATACTCACTTTTGTATCGACGATAATATACCTTTTCATAATATATATTCATTAATCATTATTCATATATCATATACATTATACCTATACAGCTATCATACTGTAGTCTGTAGTACTAGTGTACTACTTATTCACTTACAAATAACGCGTTATCATACATTTTGTTTCAAACATATAATATTGACATTCTTAATTTTTAAACACTTTTCGTTTACCCACCTATATAATATTTGGATTTGTATTATTGTCGGTACGATTCGAATTATTGACAAATTATTTCTATACAGCAGTCATGCCCAACCCGCGGCCCGCGGGCCACATGTGGCCCGCCAAGGTATTCCATGTGGCCCGTTACAAATTATTAAAATAAAACAAAATATTCCAAAAAAAGTAAAATTATTACAAAATACGATTTTAATTAATTTATAAATAAAAAATACAAAAATAAAAATAAAAAGTATATAAAAATGTTTTTATATTGCAACCTACTATGTGTACCTAACTAAATTGTATTAAGATTGAGATTATGAGTACTTTTATATTTGGTGGCCCGCTCGATTACAAATGTTTACCAAAGTGGCCCGCCGAGGAAAAAAGGTTGGGCATCACTG